CCCCCCCCAAACCCTCCCACACCCTCCCCAGCCCCCAGCCCCACTCACGGCGTGGCGCAGGGATCTGGTGAGCGGGCAGGCACGAAGAACGACCTGGGGGACAGGCACGGTCAGGGGGGACAAACTGAACCAGGACTGGGGACACCACCACCAGACCAGGCAGTACTGGTACCGGCACACCATCAGGCAGGCAGAATTGGTACTGGGACATTACCAGGCCAGGCCATACTAGTATGGCACCAGGCCAGGCAGTAGCAGCACCAGGATACCGCCGGGCCAGGCAGTACCGGCACCACAACACTGCTAGGCAAGCGAGTACCAGTGCCAGGACACCACTGGGCCAGGCAGTACTAGAACCAGCAGTACCACTACCGGGACACTGCCAGGTCAGGCAGTACCAGCACCAGGACACAGGCAGTATCAGCACCAGGACACTGCTCATCTAGACAGTACCGGCCCAGGGTCAGACAGTACCAGGACATCACCAGGCTGGGCAGTACCGGTACTGACACACTGCCAGGCCGGCCAGTACCAGTACCAGCAGTACCAGCACCAGGACAGCGCTAGGTTGGGCAATAGCAGCACCGGGACACCACTGGGCGACCCAGTACCGGTACCAGGACAGGCAGTCCTGGCACCAGGACACCAGTGGGCAACCAGTACCAGCACCAGGACACCAGCAGGCTGTACAGTACCAGGACACTGTCAAGTCAGGCAGTACCGGAATGGGGACACTGCCAGGCAGCCCAATACCGGTACCGGCAGTTCCGGCGCCAGGACACTACTGGGCTAGGCAGCACCGGTACCCTACCAGGCTGTGCAGTACCGGCACCGGGACACCACCGGGCAGGGCAGTACCGGTACTAAGGTAGTACCGAGAAAGAACCAGCCTGAGCAGTACCAGCACCGGGACAGTGAAGGAAAACAAAAATATCTATGAGTCACTACATCTGTGCCTTGTACCACATGTAGTATTTGCTCAAGTTAACTTGGTTCCTTTCAGTGAGAATCTGTTCTGCCGGTTTTTTGACAGAACGCATGGGGTATCGTGGATCCGCTCATGCAAACCCACAACCTCTTGGCCAACTGCAACCAAAATTAAAAGACAAGTAGATGTGTCAAATATAATTAAGTCCTTGCAATTTTTTGGTGAAAGTCAGCAGCTGTGTAAGAAAGAGAGCATTAGATCATTGCTCTATGGAGGGAAAGACAGGCCTACTGTATTTGCATAAAATATATATTTTATATACCGCATAACCACTTCATATTGGTGGCAGCCGGTTTTCCAGCTAGCATATAAACAGCGTACTAGCTGGTCAGTGTGAGCCCTGTGCGAGCTCCAAAATAGCCACAGCACCCATCACTGTCACTAAGGACAGTCCTACACGGTCCAACTAGTTTCACTTCTCAGAAAAACTTCCTCGAAAGCATACAATGGAAAGTGCCATTATGAGCGAGCCTCCCCCGGACAACGGGGCAGCTCCCCCGAGCCGTCGGCTGTGGCAGAAGGGCACAAGGCTCGTGGGGTGTCACCCCACATTCGGCGTCACCCCACCCACGGCATCAGCCCACCTACACCCAACCCCTGCTGGGCATGACGCCCCTCACCGACGCCACCTGAACTGAGGGCACAGGCCAGTAACGGGGCCCCCCCAAGAGCACCTATGGGCACCCATGCATCTGAGGGGGAGACGCTTATGGGCACCCGCTGCGTATGCCCAGGGGGGATCTGCTTACAGGCACCCGGTTATAAGCACCCGCTCCGTGCACCCGGGGTGACATGCCTACAGGCATCCAGTTACAGGCACCCATTCTGTGCACCCGGGGGTGACAGGCTTGCAGGCACTGGGTCACAGACAGCTGCTCCGTACACCTGGGGTGACATGCTTACAGGCACCCGATTACAGGCATCTGCTCGGTATGCCTAGGGCGACATGCTTCCTGATTACAGGCACCCACTCCGTGTGCCCAGGGTGACATGCTTACAGGCACCCAGTTACAGGCACCTGCTCCATGTGCCCAGTGGGACACAGCTGCAGGCACCCGGCTCTGGGCACCCACTCCATGTGCCTGGGATGGATAAGAGTTATGGGCACCCACTCCATCCACCTGCAGCTGACCCCTCCACGCACCCAGGGTAAAGAAAATGGGGAAGAAAAGAGGCCCCTGGCTGGCATCCAAAAGGCCTTTTATTGGGGGGGAAGTCTAGGAAGCTGCTACCTCCAAAGCCCGCTACGGGCAGCATAGTCCATGTCCCAGCAGCACTTGCAGGTGCTCGCCCGCCTGCCACCTACCCTGGGATGCGTCCGATGCATGGCTTGTAGAGCAGATGTTCACAAGGATGCAGTGATTATTGAACTGGTAATAAAAAAGCATCAGCTTAGAGGCAGCCACGATGGATGCTGGTAATTATAAAGCATCCCCTGGGAGGAAAATGACACAAGTCAGCCGCATCTCTGCAATCACAGGGGCATAATTAAAGCTCTAGTAACAGTTGTTAATAGGGTGCAAATAAAACAGGGGGAAAATTTGAACACAGGTCCCACCTCCTCAGCCACCAGGGCTGCACTTGCGGGTGGGCAGGCAGCCCGGTACAGGTCCGAGACTCGCTCCTCATTGAGGGCGGCCACCTCCACCCGCAGCGCCTGGAGGTCCAGCAGCCCCCGGACACAGGCAGCCAGCCCCAGGGGCGGCCCCAGCGCTGAGCAGAGCTTCTGCCGATGGAAACTCATGTGCTCGAGGAAGGGGCAGTCACGGTTGCGCTCAAAGGCCCAGCACTCAGCCCACATGCCCTTGTTGTGGTGCCAAGTCTCCAGGTAGTACTGCAGGAAGGTGAGGGGGGCCACGTCCTCCAAGTCACTCAGGTACTGGCTGTAGACGCGGGGCGAGCTGGCGTTGGCCATGTTGTGCAGCAGGTTGCGCACCTTGTCCTCCTTGGGGGCGGCAAGCTCGTGGGCCTTGCGGTAGAGCGCCTCGAGCACCTGGAGGCGGCAGATCTGGACGCGGGCACAGGGCAGCACCTCCCCGA